TTAACCCCAATCCTGAAACATCAGCTTTCACGGACGCCAGGGTTTCTCCTTATAAACGCAAATCCAAGATGAAAACGGGAAAAATTCATCAAGAAGGAGCCCCTATCTTTCCTTCAGGGCACAAAACAGGCACTCATTAAAAGTTGAGTGGCTGAGTGGCTGCAGAGTGACCACAGGCCTGCGCAGGGATGATGGCCGAAGGGAATTGAGGGTCATCTCCTGGCAACCCCGATGCTGCCCTCTGGCTCCCAAGCCCATTAGGAGAAACCGCTAATTGATTAAACAGTGGTTCCCAGCAAGGGGCATCTGATGATGTCTGGACACATTTCTGGCTGTCACGACTGGGAGAGGGGAGCTGGCATTTAGTGGGTGGAGGCCAGGGGTGCTGCTGACACCTTACAGAGCCCAGCATGGCCTTTCCCCACTTCCCAACAAAGAATTACGCAGCTCAGAATGTCACAGTGCCAGGTCACTGTCTCTACACTCTCACTTGATTCAAGCATCAAACAGCATGTGCCAGGCAAACCCATGGAAAGCTGCGTGTCCTGTGAGTTTCTGATGTTTTCTCATATTTGTTTGGAACAGGTTGGAGAAGAGGAATCAGAGGCTGGGTGACTCTGGCTGTGGGTGGTGTTAAAAAGACAGCTGTCACTGTAGATGCCACCAGAGATGGGCCCAGGGCAGGGGCGCCTCCCAGGACCCTCAGGAAATGCCTACCACGTGAGCAGACACCCCATGGCCCCAGGTTTAGTCTGTCCCAAGAACTAACTTAGCATCCCTCTGGCCCTGAAAAGTTTGAGGCAACAGCCAGAGGAGAAAGGCCGGTGGTAATCTCTGAGACGTGGCAGAGCTGAAACGAGGTAGATGAGGATGCCGGGAAAATCGGGTGCCAGGAGTCTTTTCCTCAAAAGTAGCTGCGTCAAGCTCCCGGCTGTCATCTGCTGGGCTGTCACTCATGCTGCCTGCTTTAATCCCAAGACCCCTGGCTTTTTAAAAGAAAGACTTTTCCCACGGGCATGTTTTGGGAACACTGAATTCCCACCAGGTAGCAACCTCATCCCTTGACTCTCAGAAAAAATGGGGCCCCAGGAGTGTCCTGTTCCAGATGAGCCCACTCCATTCAGCATCCTGAGCGGAGACACGGTTCCCAGGGTACAAAGGGGCTCTGACAAGTTCCCCCAGCCCGCAATTTCAAGGGGGACCTGCTCTGGGGCCCAAGTTCTAAATTTAAGAGTGTGGGCAGTCCACGAGAAACCACTCTGGCCTGGGGCTGGTGTGGGTTTTGGACCTTGGGCAAAACTTTCCACGGTGGACTTTCCTCATCTCTAAGCCAGGAATGTGAAATCCAAGCTTGACTAGGCTCTTCTCAGGTCAGAAATTTGGGGTAGCTGCAGACCACACAGGGGAACCAGCAGTGGGTGGGAGGCCTGGTCCAGCCCAAAGACCTCCAGCCAGGATCGGTGGGGCAGAGACCCTATCTTGAAAGACTGTAGAATTTTAGACTTCATCCACCGTGGTCTCATTCTTCAGATGAGGAAAGTGAGGCCCATCGCGGCTCAAGGACCTAGCAAGGTCAATTTCCTTTCGCCAAAAGAAGGTATCTCACAGGCTGTGTGCGATGGCTCACGGTTGTAATCCTGAGTCACCTGGGATTGGGAGCTCAAGACCAGCCTGACCAACACGGAGAAACCACGTCGCTACTTAAAATACAAAATTAGCTGGGTGTGGTGGTGTGTGCCTGTAATCCCAGCTACGTGGGAGGTTGAGGCAGGAGAACTGCTTCAACCGGGGAGGAAGAGGTTGTGGTGAGCCGAGATTGCGCCACTGCACTCCAGCCTGGGCACCAAGAGCAAAACTCTGTCTCATAAAAAAAACAAGGTATCTTACAGAAGAGGAGCCATATGGACAACGCCTCAAAGCCCAACTCGAAACCATCCATCAAGTTCTAGTTGCAAACACTCCCAGCACGTCCTGGGTGAAAAACACAGCAGCCTCCACTAGTTAAAAGAAAAACCAAGCACTAGCTTCTTTCCTTTCTTTTTCCCTTTCCTCGTTCCTTCCTATCTTTTGGTGTAAAGAAACTCCAGCAGACACCAGGCCTTAGCACTTCCTCACCCTAGTCGTTAGGGGAAATCTGATACACACTTACAACAAACTGTTACAGTATACCTGCATTTTAAAGATTGGCTGGTCTCTCCCGCCTTGTAGCTTTCTTCCAGTAAGTACAGGGCTGTGTATACACAGAGCACCGGACCAACCCGGGGGAACCCAGAGGCCAGCTGGAACAGGCTACGGTTCCAGGCATTAACCCCAAAGGTTTCACTCAAAGGCTGCCAGGGGCAGCGGGGCATAGTGCAGTGGGTGATGTGCAAGGCATTTAACAAGAGGCCCTGATGTCAAGTAAAAACATCAGGAAGGATTGATGAGCCTAAGAAAGGACAGAAATAAGAACAATGCTTTTTTTCCCCAAGTCCTGAACCATAAATAGAACAAGAGCAAACTGCTGCACTGTGCCCAGCCTTTGGAATAAGGGTGGCATAAAGATGCGTGTCCCTTGAGCAGGAGGTCCCCAAGGCAGCTTTCAAGAGTGAAGGGGGAAAAGTGAGGCGGCGAGGGCCCCAAAGCAGCCCATGTAAGGCAAGACTCTCCAAACATGTGCGAACGGATTTTAATAGCATCCTCGTGCATTTCATTAGCCTCCTGAGTTCACAAGGGGCCTCTGGGAAGGCAAGTCGGTTCCACAAACGCTGGCTCTGGGCAGGTCCTCCTGGCACCTAGCTGGCCTGGCGCAGCACAGCTAGGGTTGGGTCTGGGGAGAGCTTTCCATTCCAGGCTGGGAGAGAGTGTGGAGAGGTGGATGGACAGAAGGACCTACCACCAAAGCCCAGCCAGCCTGGTTATTTTTACCACTCAAAGCTCACCATATAGCCTCAGTGGCCACAAACTGGCAGCCGCCTGCAGACACTCACTTATGGGCCTCCCAGACACTGCCTTCATTCCATTCCACGGTGACTGCTTCTCAGCTCCTGGCCCCAGATACCAGCAGGCTGGCCCAAGCAGGGAAGGGCTGTGTGCTTCACCGGGTGCTTGTTAGGGGTGGGGATGGGGAAACTAAAGCTCAAGGAAGCAAAAGGTCCCCAAAAAGGTGGGCTGGGGGACAGGGTGTAGGCTAGAAGCTAGAATCCTGGAGGTAGTGGTTCAATTCCCCACTCAACCAAATGTCGACCTTGGTGGGCTGTGTGTGCAGGAGGTGGAGACTTACTTGTTTCAACTTTTGGGTGTCCACGTTGCTGCAGTCGCCTCAAAGTTCAAAACCCCACTCCCCACTGTTGGTTCACTGAACCCTTTTAGGGCCAGGCAGTCCCAAACACAAACAGCCTCAAACTTTGACTCCTTTGTAACCACGGTCCCAGCCAGACTGAACCAAGCTGCCCAGACAGAGGCTATTTATAGGTGCGTCGGGGACACAGACACTGGCACAATGACACACACACATTCAAGATCCATGCTGGGCCAGACGCACCAGCGCCAAGCCCTGGATTCAGGCACCTGGACACACACAGTCCTCAGATCCGGCCCAACCACTCCAGACCCCCGGGAAGACGCACACGCTCAAAAAAGGCACCCCGGCCCAGACTCGGGAAAGACACAGAGAGGCAGGAAGACTCGGAGACACGCACTCTCGGGCAAGACCTCGACTCAGACCCCCAAACACCCCGAGAGACGCCGAAGATCCAGACAGAGTCACGCAGCCACGCACACTCCACAGTTGCACGGACATCCACTCAGAGCCTGAGACACAGCGCCGCGAACACTTCCGACACACGCCCGGAGCCCCAGACACCTCGCAGACCAGACAGTGTCTCACACGCCCCTCCACCCCCGCCCAAAGTTGATAAAGAGCCGGCCTAATTGCTTCATCGCGACTGCCCCTTAGGGAAATAAAATGGAAACTTGACGGATCCGCCCGCCCCGGCCCTCCCGCGCCGAGCGCCGCCGCTGGGGCCCGGGTCCGAGTCCGGGCGGGCGGGGCGCGGACAGCGGGGGCCGTGCCAGGCTCGCAGCGCCGCGGGACAAAGCCGGGCCGGCCGCCAGCTGCCGCGAGCCAGGAGGGTGCGCCCGGGGCGCGGCGGGCGCTGCCGGGGCGCAGGGCGTTCGGTCCGAAGGGGCGCGCTCGGCCTGGACCCCCGCCCGCAGCTGCGCCCGGACACAGGGTCCGAGCCCCACAGAGTCTCCGGGGAGGGGGGCGTGGGGTCACTCACTGATCTCCATGCTCTGGAACAAAGAGCGTTTGCAGTTGCACGTGCAGGAGACATTGGGCTGCCCGGCGGCGGCGGCGGCGGTGCTGTTGACCCCCATCAAGCGGTGCATGGACGGCGCGGCGGCGCGGCGCGGGGCGCGGGGGGCGCGGAGGCGGCCGGGGGGGGCTCCGGCCGGCGCCCGGAGCTGGGGCCCCGCATGCAGGAGGCGCGCGGCGGGGGAGGCGCGCCCCGGCTCGCCGGGCTCGGGTCGCCGCCAAGTTCCCGGGGCGCCACGGGGCTCAGTGCGCGGGACCGCGCTCCTCGGCGGCCCCCCCGGCCGCCCCTCGGCAACCCTGGGGGCGTCGGTAGTGCCCGCGGGTGGCGTCCGGAGAATGGGCTGGCAGCGGGGCGCGCGCGGCCGCCGGGGCTGAGCCTCCGCCGCTAGCTTTCCCCAGCAGAGCGCCTCCGCCGCCGCCGCCGCCGCCGCCTCCTCCTCATTCAAGTCCAAGGAGATCGGGTTTCGCTCCGAGACCGCGGTCGGAGGCAGGCAGACGGTCTGACGTCAGCGCTAGACGGGGCTGCCGGTTCCCACCGCGCGGGGGCCGGGGAGGGGGCGCGCGCTGCGCCAATCCCCGCCGAGGTTCCCCCGCACCCCCTCCCCGAGCCGCGGGGCGGGGTGACGGGGAACGGGGCGGGCTCTTAAAGGGCCAGAGACGGGCGGCCCACGTAGACCCGGCACCGGCGCAGCGGAGGAGGGGCGCTGTGCCTTCTCCCCAACGGGGGTCAGCTTGCAACGCCTGCCCGGCGCACGCCGGGGACCCGGAAGCCGGACTCGGTGCCAGCCGCACGGGGCGAGTGTCTGGTGCGCGTGTTTGGTGCGCCCTCCCCTCGATCCCGTCTCTGGGTCCCTGACCCAGGCTTCTGGGGCTAGCCTATCTTCTGAGGAGCACAAGGTCCCTGGGGGCTCCGGGAAGGGAAATTGGAGAAAGCGGGAGGAAGCCCCCAGGATCGATCACCCATTGCCTGATTTCACAGCCGCCTGTCTGCCTTCAGTTCTGAAGGCAGCTCGGGGATCCTGGACCACTGAACCCCCCAAGCGCTTTCTCCCGAACCGAAGGAGGGCGACCAGGAAAGACTGGAACTCGCTTAGACACGCCCGGAAGCCCTTGTCATGTAAATAGCTGTCGGGGACTGTTGTATTGTCACTGCTCCAGCCGGCGGGACCTGGGGCGAATCCACACCCATTGTCTGCCGCCCCGAGGGGCCACCGGTTGGGGCGCGCGGCTCCAGAGTCCTAAAGGGGTCTGGGCGGGAGGGTTGTACTTTTATTTCATTAAGTTTTAATTACAGGAGTGCTACAAGAACACATTCTTCTGGTTTAAAAAGATATTAAAATATTACATAAGAGACCTCCCCTCCCTGGCCCACCTCCAGCCTCTTAAGAATTTGGTGTGTCGCCTCTTAGACACTTTCTCAAAACTTCACTTATTTAACAAGCACGTAAGGAGCACCTACCTGTGCCAAGAACTTTCCAGATATTCACTCAACCTGACACCCACTCGGTGTGGCCGAAGATTACTATCCCCATTTTACAGAGCGGGAAGCTGGCCAGGGAAGTCTCTTGCTGAAGGTCACACAGTGGTGGAGCCTGTGTTCCCACCCGGACCCTGAGGTAGCTGCCTCTCCCTCTCCCCCATAGTTGTGGTTCTTTAAATATCCACATATTCCTGTAATGCCTGGAGTTTTCGTAATTAGCAGGGACTTTGTGGTGTATGTTCCGAGCAAAACAAACAAACAAAAAAAAGGCTTTTAAAAATTATTGTTACTGTGTTTGTAATGGATTGGATAGAGAAGGAAAAGCTGGAATTTGGGAAGTGAAGGAGGCCTCTCAGGAGAACTCACCTAGACCAGAGCGAATTCATCCTGAAGAATTCAGAGAAAGCCCGTGCGGGAAGTGGTTCCGACTCTCCTTGCACCGCCACAGTCTCCAGAGCTCTCCCAGAAAGACTGGGAGACTTGTTCTGGAGACTTCAAGCCCAGGGATGTGGCTCAGGCTGGTCCAGGCTCTTTGGAGGAGTCCAAGAGTGCCCAGCCTCAGAGGTTCAGAGGCACTGACCATCATCTTTTGGGAGGAGAAGCTCTCTTGGAGCCATAGCCAACACTAGGTCAGGACCCAGGCCCTGGCCCAGGAGTGGGGCAATACCCAGGGTCTACCCCAGATGGCACTCTGCTGTGAACTGGGCACCCTCAGCCCCTGGCTTGAGGAAGGGGCAACGTCACCAGCATGTCTTTCATCAGGGAAGATCTTGTTTTTGGCCTCTGCAACTTAAGAGAAAAGCTGAGGGGTCCTGGCATCCCCTGGGGGGCATGGCAAATGCTGGCTGGGCCTGGAGATGACCGTGGATCCCATTCATTTCCTAGGGTGAAGGAAGTCATCATTACCACCCCTCCTTTCAGCCATTTCTTTATCATTCAGTCAACAAACTCTGGCTGAGCTGCAACCCTGGGCTGGAGCATGGGATTCAGCCATGCCAGACACAGCCCCTGCCCTCTGGGAAGTCTCCGGAGACCTGGCAAGTCTGGCTGGGAGAAATCACACGTTGATTGTCTTGGAAGTTAGACGGCATTTACACAATGGAGGCTGTACTGCCAGCAGGCAAAAATAACCAGTTAATTCAGTGGATTAAAAAAAGCAAACCTACCCACAGCACTTGACCTCCCATTGATCTGTCTGCGACAACAGCAATGGCTACCATTTACTGAGTGCTGATGGGGTCACCGGGGATTGACTTAGTGGTCTCTGGCGCTAGTTCCAAAGTGGATTCTGTCTGGAGAGAGAACACTGTCTGCAGTGTTCAGACCTGAGGGTCCAAAACGGAGGGTCACCGAAAGATGAGTGGGACAGAGCTGTGCAACCTCAGCTGAGTGCTTTCACCTCTCCAATCTGTTTCCTCTTCTGCAAATGAGGTGGCTTCATGGCACCTTCACATGGTGTGATTGTAAAGAATGAAGGGATCGATGCCTTGCACGTGGGGGAGAAGAGGGCTGGATACATCTCAGTTGTTACGTTATTTAATCCTCTCGGCAACCCTGGGAGGGAGGAACCACCATCATTTTATTTTACATTTTACAGGTGAGGGGAATGATGATTCCAGCACAGACAGCACCTCTGGCGGGGCAGCAGGAAAGGAGAATGGCTTTGGAAGGAGCATGGGCTGGACTGCCAGCACTCACAGGAGGCCTCGTGTGTGTCCAGGACTGCCAGATTAAACACGGGACACCCAGGTAAATTTGAATTTCAGATAAACTATGAATAATGTTTAGTATAAGTATATCTCATGCAATATTTGGGACATACTTATACTAAAAATTTATATATTATTTATCTAAAGTTCAAATTTAACTGGATATCCTGTATTTTCCTTTGTGAAATCGGATAACCTAGATGTACCAGGGATTGTGATGCTGGGAATTTGGGCATGAGGGGCAGAGCCCACTGTCAGGCACAGGCAGAGGAGGTCACAACTCCCTGATTCTACCCAGGGGAAAATGGGCACAGCCATGGTGTTCATGGCTGAGGAGTTAGGGCTCACAGCCGGGAGTGGGAGTGAGGAGGGGTCACCATGATTGGGCAGGCCTGAGTCCCTGGGAGGAAGGCCACAAGTCAGAGACAAAACACGATTTTGTTCACTCATTCAACAAATGTCCTGCTCCTACTATTCAGTGTGAAGCTCTGTGCTGGGTATTGGGTGCAGGGCTGGGAAGATAACAAGCTCCCTGACCTCAAGTGACATTGTGGGGGACAAAGGGACTAGAGATGCACATGCAAACTCATAGCTTAATGAGGTCAGGAGCACATTTCAGATATGGTGAAGACAGGCCAAAGGCAGGAGTTGGGTGAGATCAAGGAAGCCCTCCCTGAGGAGGTGGCATCTCATTTTACCTGGAGTTACCAAGCACCCACAGGTGCAGCCCCAGCCATACTGTGGCTCACAAGTGAGGCTGATGTCACATATGTAAAAAGATGAGTCCAGGTGATAATTTCAGAGAGGGACAGACCTGGGAACAATATAAAGGAAGATGGGGATTTGGAAGTGACTTGAGCCCAAGGGGTTGGACCTCCTGTCTGGGGAGATGTGGGCTGGGCATGTAGGGGACAGTGGAGGGGGGTGCCAGGCCAGTGGGGGCCGCAGGAACTAAGAGACTCGTGGTCCCAGCAGGTCTGGCGTTTGGGACACATTTCCCAGCCTGGCTGTGGTCACAGGTTGTGAAATGGGCATGTGAAGCAAGTGGATTGTGAAACAGGTGCCTTTCAGGGACTCCAGACAGCATGTGCTACCATCTGCCCTGCCCGTGGGTTGAATCTGTGGTAGGGGGTATCTCCAGAGAAAAGGTCCTGTTTCAGCAGGTGGGGCTTTGCTCCAGCGGCGCCATATGTGCTGCGCCAGGCTGGGGTGCAGAGCCAGCTTTGTGGGTGTGTGACCCCCTACACTTGCCAGGGCCCCACACTCTAAGGGTTGGGGGTTGATTTTATTTTTGGGTTTACTTTAATGCTCTACCATTGACATCTTGAAATTCCTAATAGTCAACATTTCTGAACTCGGGGGCCTGCAAATCTGTACCCAGTCCTGCGCAGATGCCAGGCCCACACTGACAGCCAGTTGGGACCCCGTAGAAGTCACTGTGGGTTTCGGCCACAGCTGAGGGTGGCTGGCAGTGTCCTGACTGTGTCCGCTGGCCAAGGGTGGCTGGCCACTGTGGAGAGTGCCTGGCTGAGCCATCAAAGGTCCTGCTTGGGGAACCGGCTGTGGGGACATAGCAGAGTCCTGCTCAGGGCCAGCTGTGCTGCTGTCTGCTTTCCACACCCTGGCCTGCTTGGACGGAGCTGCTTGGTCTCAGGAAGCCTTAAGCAGCTTAACAACCTCTCCTCCCAGCTCAGCACCTTTGGAAATGCCGTCCAGCAGGGTCATTGCATTCCTCAGGTTGGGGTTAACTGTGTGTGTTTCACAGGTTAGTGTCTTTGGACTTCAGTGTTTTTTTTTGTTGTTGTTTTTGTCTTGTTTTACTTTAAACACTAGTAGGAGCTGATGTTTATTGGCACTGCCCGTGTGCCATGCCAAGCCCTGTTCTAACCGCTTCACATTCTTCCATCTAGTCATTCAGCAGATATGCATGGGGACCCTACGGTGCGCCAGGAATGAGCTCACTGGATCCCCACAACAGCCCTCTGAGGTCCAAGCAAACATTCCCACTTGATATATGGGGACACTGAGGCTCAGATACCCAAGGATGAGGTGGAGCTGGGATGTGAATCAGGTACTCGGAACCCAAAACCCATGGGCTGACCTCAGCAAATGGCGCCTTCTGCACCCTCTCCAACCTCACTACCTCTGACTGGGTCCTCCCTGGCCATGCCGTTAGACTCAAGTAGCTCTGTCCCCTGTGGCTCCATAAAAGCTCCCTGGGAACCACCATTTGCCACCCCGCTGGTAGTGTTCGTTCATAAAACCTCATCTCCAATGATGAGAGGCAGCTGACTCTGCAGAGGAGTGAGGCTGGAGTGGCTGGACTGGTGAGAGAGGCCCCGCCAGCCCCTGCTCTGTGTCCAGCACGGGAGACCTTGGCGGGCTGCTTCAGCTCACTGAACCTGCGTCCCCACCACCACTGCACGGGGAGGCATAGGCTTTCGCCATGAGGGAGAGGCAGTGTGGGGAACCCTCAGCACAGGGTCCAGTGGCCCCCGGACATGGCATCTGTGAGTTCACTGTCCCCTCCACTTGACTGGTAGCTCCAGGGGGCAAGCCAGTTTGGCATCTGGTGCCTCAGTTGGGGTCTGGCCTGCAATGGGTGTTTGGAAAACCTCTGTGGAGGAAACGTGTGAGTGGCACCTACCCACAAAAACATCCAAATCCCATTTTTGGCTGCCTTCATGACTAGCTAACAATTCTTCCCACTCGCTCACCCTCTCCACCTCCAACCGAGTATCCTCTTCCAACCAAGTATCCGGAAGCCAGTCACCTGGGCTAGCACCCACTGAGAAGACCAAGGAGTGCTCATGTGGTATCGACTGGAACCAGAAGTCTCAGCCAGAAAGACGTGTTGCGTATGTATGGTCTACACCGGGAGCTTCGGGGTGTATATGTGGAACATACATGTGGGAGATACATTGCATGTATTTGTGGGACATACGTGTGCATATTCACGCTAAGGGGTGTAAGTATGTGGGGGGTGTGTGCCATCTGTGTTGAGGGTTTGAGGGTGCATGTTGCATTGTATTAATGTGTGGGGTACGCATGTGAGTGTATTCATGGGGGGGTGTGTTGTGCGTGCATATGTGTGTGCGTGCACGTTTTCTTAGTTGCGTTGTGTGTGTTTAGGTGCTGATACAGGAACTTAGCTGCTGGGCAAATGTCAGATGGTTGAGTTCTCCAACAGCAAGCCAAAGAAGCTTGGCTAAATTGGCCACCGATGACACCCCCACCTCCACCCCAGGGTGCCATCCCATTTTCTTCTCCGTCCAATTGTTCATTTCCAGCAGGGAACTGAATTCTCCCGGAGAAGATAGGGCTTTGGGGGCCAGGCAGGGAGATAAGAAGTGGGCAGAAGGAGGGGACAGAGGAAATATTAGAGCCAATTTTGTCTTCTGACAGATGGGTAAACTAAAGCCCAGAGATGGCCATGAATTGGAGAAGGTGGAGTAAATGCGTGAGTATTTACTCCAGTAATACTGGTGCCAGTGAAAGGCAGAGTTGAGCGAGGATCCGTCCAGTGCCTGACGGTGATCCAGGCCCCACAGGCTCTTTGGTTATGTTAAATAGCTTAATACACAGACCTTTCTACCACAGGTTGAGCTTGAGAGGGCAATGGAAGATTCCAGATGTTTAACTCATGTCTGAAACACTTTCAGAAAGAACTATTAGTCATTCAAGCTGATTTCGTGGACCAGAAATACCCAACCAAAAGGGTTTTGTGTCTGTCTTGTCATGAATGACACATTGTTACTGTGGTTAGGGGTATTTAATAATATAAAACTGTGCTTCTCAATGACACAAAAGAGATTTAGGCAAGGCTGGCCTTTGGTGCTCTGCTGCTGGGTTTGAGGGGAAGCAGGTGGAGGGGGCTGGGTGTGACAGCAAAGGCCACGCTGATCACAGAGGACTAGGATGTGACTATGTCTGCCTGGCTCTGTGCAGTGCCAATGCCAGGCACCTCACCTGGCAGAGACTATTCCATACCTCATGCCAGGCGTTGCAACAAGCTGTGGGGCACCACAGTGATGAGCGCAGGCCAGCTCCACCTCCACGGTCTCCCCTCTGATGGGCTTACTCATTCATCGACCCATTGCCCCAAACACTGAATTCTGCATGCTGAAAACTGTGAGCTCAGGCAAGTATATGTCACTACTTCTGTGTGACCTTGCTGGAGAAAGTAACCAACTATTCCCGGCCTCAGTTTCCTCATCTTTTAAGTGGAGATCTGGCTGGGTGCGGTAGCTACACCCGTAATCCCAGCACTTTGGGAGGTGGGCGGATCATGAGGTCAAGAGATCAAGACTATCCTGGCCAACATGGTGAAACCCCGTCTCTACTGAAAATACAAAAATTAGCTAGGCATGGTGGCACACGCCTGTAGTCCCAGCTACTTGGGAGGCTGAGGCAGGAGAATTACTTGAACCCAGGAGGCGGAGGTTGCAGTGAGCCGAGATTGAGCCACTGCACTCCAGCCTGGTGACAGAGCGAGATTCCATCTCAAAAAAAAAAAAAAAAGTGAACATCTGACAGGTATCCACTCACAGGGTCACTGGAAGAATTCTATGGGGAACTCACGCAGGGCACTCAGCACTGGGCCTGGCTTGGAGCAAGCTCTTGACAAAGTTAATCACAGTAGTTCCCCCATCATGCAGGGCTTCCCTTTCCAAGGTTTCAGTTACCCATGGTCAGCCGAGGTCCAAAAATAGTGGGTATAGTACAGTAAGATATTTTGAGAGGGAGAGCGAGAGGGAGAGACCACATCCACATAATTTTTATTACAGTATATTGTTCTAATTGTTCTATTTTATTGTTAGTTGTTGTTGTTAATCTGTTGCTATGCCTAATTTATAAATCAAACCTTATTGCAGGTATCCATGTGTAGGAAAAAATAGTGTATAGGTTTTGGTGCTGTCTGACGTTTCAGGCGTCCGCCGGAAGTCTTGGAACATACCCCCCCACGTGTAGGAGGGGAGACTGCGTGCTGTGCACTCCAGGGGCTCCTCGTCCTGGTCAAAATGCAAACGGACCCTTTTCTTCCCTTTGGAGAACTTATTTTGTGTATGAATCTGTGAGTGGCTTTGTTCAGTGTCTTGCCCCAGCTAGACTGCGCCCTCGGCGTCCCCAGTGTCTTGTCTAGGAACGAATGCTGAGATGTCTGCAAGGTGTCCAGAATGCCACGCGGGCACTGTGGGAATCCAGGAGAACAGGGCGAGATGGTGCCCAGCACTCTCCGCAAGGGGGTGGCACCAGGAAAACACTCTGTGCCCTTCACCTGCATCTCCATGCGAGGGATGGAGACGCGGTTCTGTCCCTTCTGCACAGGGAGCACTCACTCTGGGTGAATCTGTCATCAGTTTGACACCAATGAGAATAGGTGTCCAAGAGCTGGCTTCAAAGGCAATGAAACTGGCATTGCATCTTTGAAGGTGGCACGGGCTACATGTCTTATTCTCTTGTCCACAGCCCCTAGCAGTGACTGGCATGTGGTCACACTGAATAAGTATTTGCTGAAGAAATGACATGCAAAACAATCTTGCAATGTGGACTAGTTCCTCAAAGCATGTGCATCTGCACCCAGTAGGTCCATTTCTGCCGCATATCTTAAGGAAATAATCAGAGAAGTGAACGGAGTTTTAAGGAGGATGTTGATCTTCATTTGTAAAAACAAAAGTGTAATGAAATTAAGAAAAACAAGTAGGGGATGGGGAAATAAAAGTCAGCGATAATGAAACTGTTCAAACTAGTGCTTGCAAAAATCATCTGATGACATAAAGTCCCATATAAACTGAATGTAAAAACTGGCTGCAGAACTGATCTCAACTTTGTACAAAAATATTATTAGAAAAAGGATAGAAATGATATATGAATGCCAAAATAGTAACAGTGATCAGCTTTGTGTAATGGATTAAATGCAATATATTTCTCATATCTTGTGCCATATGTTTTACAATGAAGAGTCATTTAGAAAAATTTTGAAAGATTACTTAACAGTACCTCTGAAGCAACTTTCACGTCCTGCCTCCTGCGGCTCCTTTAACTGCAGTCAAGACACCGAAGAGGCGGGGGTGCCAGACAGGCTGACGTTATGGGCAGCCCGAAATGACACAGGGGAAGGGCCAATCCCAAGTTTGGATTCCGAGAGGAGCCAGTTCTATTGGATATAAGTGCTGGCGGCCTCTGCCAATGGTGGGAGAGGGGCAGGAGCCCCGTGGCAGCGTGGGTTTTAAATCCACGTGGTGGCTGCGGGGCGGGGCAAGGGGTCTAGGTGCTTAAAGGTTTAGGGTCTGCGGGGATGTAGCTGCGGCTCCGAAGTGCTTGTTCTTTTCTGGGAAAGGCGATTTCTCCACCACCTCTTAGGATCTTGGGCAAGTCAGTCAGCCTCACTGAGCCTCTAGGATCAGTAGTGTTTTGTGAGGATCCAGCCCTTCAGCAGACATTTGCTGAGCATCTACTATGTGCCGGGCAGGGCCCTCTGGGATCAGGTAGAAGGCAGGAGGGAAGCGTGGGGAGCCATAGGCCTGCTGCCTCTGTAACCACGGGCAGTGGCTCAACATTACCTCCCCTTCCTCCCCACTGCTCTGCCCCATCCTAGCTCTTGAGTCTCTCCTAAAGGGTGTGAGCTCCATGGGAGGTACCCATGTGCCTTGAGGAAGGGCTGCCCTGGGTTATATTCAGTATGTACTTTCCGAATAATTATTGTAAAGACTAATTCTCAGCACAGAGCTTAACACATAGAGGTGTTTGATAAATGGCAAATGTTCGTGCAGTAAAGAGCAGCGGGGCAGGCACGGCGGTTCACACCTGTACTCAGCACTTTGGGAGTCTGAGGCAGGATTATTGCTTGAGCCCAGGAGTTTGGGACCCCTGGGCAACAGTGGTGGGACCTCATCGCTTAAAAAAAAAGAGAGAGAGAAAAAAAAAAAAGAAAAAGAAAGACAAAAGTATATTAGCCATGTGTCTTGGTGCTTGCCAGTAGTCCCAGTTAATTGGGAGGCTGAGGCGGGAGGATGGCTTGAGCCCAGGACTGTGAGGCTGCAGTGAGCTATGATTGTGCCATTGTACTCCAGCCTGGGTGACAGAGCGAGACCGTGTCCCTGACAGCAACAACAGCAAAGAACAACAGATAGCACTGATGAAATGCCTATTACGTGTAAAGTGGTGTTCTGGGCATTTCACATGTATTACATGCGATTTAATATTAACAGAATTATAACTCGTATAACTCACAAAAAGCAAATTAGGCACCATTATTATTCCTACTTTGCAGACGTGGAAACCAAGGCAGAGAGAGGCAAGGTAACTTTTATAAGGCTGCATGGCTAGATGGTGGGGCTTGATTCAAATCCAGGTCTGTCGACTCCTGGGGCCCTTGTTCCTAACCGCGGTGCTGTCCTAATACCTGTCTGGTACTCAGACTTTCTTTTCCAAGAACGTTCTAAGTCAGGCCTGTGGTACTGGGATTTGGGAGAGAAGGGAGGAGACAGGAATCCAGTGGGTGAGGAGAGCCAGGTGAACTGGGGTCCTGCCGCCTGTGGCATGGCCCAGCCCTGTGGGGTGGCATTGGGCAGGAAGAGGGGTAGTGAGACGGACAGCTGTTGGGGCACATGTCCCATAAACAGGATATGTTTATGGGACATGTGGCCCTGTGCTGGGCTGGTGGGGGCAGTGCTCGGCGTGACACACCCTCCCTGCCCTCATGGGGCTGGCAGTCTAAACCAGCAGCCACTAACAGTGACCTGTGCACAGCCTGGAGGAGGGGTTTTGGTTTTGCCAGCATGGTATTTGAATATTTTTTAAACATGAATTGCCTTGGTCCCCACCCCTCCCTAGTGTTACACATGTCAGCTTTACTCGTGTCCTGCTAGCTCCTGAATGCCCTGAGCAGCTTTGTCTCCGGTACCCCCATGCCAGCAGCCTGTGGTGGGGTGCAGCAGGGTGCTCTGTGGCTGGCACACAGCAATTGTCCTGGAGTTCTTTGCTTTGCCACCCGTCTGTGTTTGAAATCCTGAAATCTCCACCTTGAGCCTCCACTGGCCCCAGATGTGCAGCCTGCAGCTTGAAGCTCTGGGGACTCTGGTGGTGGACGCCAACTCCGAGTGAGTCAAACTTGGTTTCAAGTCCCAGCATCACTGCTAACGAGCTGAATGAAATGAAATCTGTGGAGCCTCAGTTTCTCTCCTCTGCAAAATGGGGATAAGAGCTCCCTCTTCATCAGGTTATGGTGAAAGGTAAGTGCATTGATGCAGGCTGGACGCTTGGCACAGAGTAACACTCCCTTTGGAGGCAGCTCATTTAGAGCCACTGTCACAGGCAGGACGTCCTTCCATACATCAGACTGCAGTCTGCCTGCTTTATAACGTCTGTAATTCATCTTGCTAGCAGCATAAACATGCTTCTCTTTCCATAGAAGAGTCCTTCAGTAACTCAGGACCATGCTGAACATCATGGTGTCCCATTCAAGATCTGCTATATCATTTGTGGAGCTGAGGGCAAACTAAAAATCCCAGGCTCTGTGTTCAGAAAATGAGCAAGAATGTGAGGATGGGTGAGAGCAGCGCTGAGAGTCCCTTCTGAAGGCAGAGCGCCCATGGCTACGGGTTACCTCCCTTGAAGCTGGCCCTGTTCTCACTGGTGGTCCATGGTCTGGCAGCATCCTCCAGTACCACAAGACGGGGTCTTGCTGGACCCAGGGAAGGCTACCTGCAGATGTGGCCTCTGTCTCTGCAGCTCACAGTGGGAATCTGGTTCACAGGACCCAGCCTGCCAACCTCCAGGGAGCTGCAGAGATTTTGGAATTTCTCTTCTGCAAAATACAGATAATAGCTTCTTCTTCATTAGTTTATGGTGAGGGGTAAGTGCATTGATGTAGGTTGAATGCATGGGACAGAGTAGCGCTTTTGCTTTTTTGTTGATAGCACATATATTGAGAGCAAAGCTCACAAATCCAAACTGGATCGTTTGATGACTTTTCACATTGAATACACCTGGCTCACCCCTGCCCAGATCAAGATCGAGAGCATTCCCATCACTCTGGAAAGTTTCTGGTTACCACCCACCTCGTCCCTGCCACAGACGGAACCACCATCCTGACTTCTTTGACCGTATATTTGTTTAGTCTATTCTTGACTTTCTGTTTTTTATTTTTATTTTTGTATTTTTAGAGACAGGGTCTCGCTCAGTCACCCAGGCTGGAGTGCCATCGTGTGATCATGGCTTACTTCAGCCTCCATCTCCCCTGGGCTCAAGTGACCCTCCCACCCCAGCCTCTCAAGTAGCTGGGACTACAGGTGCCAGCCACCATGCCCAACTAATTTTTTAATGTTTTATAGAGACAGGGTTTTGCTGTGTTACACAGGCTGGTCTTGAACTCCTGGGTTCAAGCTCCTACCACGTCCTCCCAAAGTGCTGGGATTATAGGCATGAACCAAGGTGCCTGGCCTTGACTTCTTGTAAACAGAGTCCCACAGTACCTGACTTCTTTTTTTTCTTTCTTTCTTTCTTTTTTTTTTTTTTTTTTTTTGAGACAGAGTCTTGTTCTGTCGCCAGGCGCCAGGCTGGAGTGCAATGGTGCAATCCTGGCTCACTGCAACCTCCGCCTCCTGGGTTCAAGCAATTCTCCTGCCTCAGCCTCCTGAGTAGCTGGGACTACAGGTGCACGCCACCACACCCAGCTAATTTTTGTATTTTTAGTAGAGATGGGGTTTCACCATGTTGGCAAGGATGGTCTTGAGCTCTTGACCTCATGATCCACCCACCTCGGCCTCCCAAAGTGTTGGGATTACAGGCGTGAGCCACCGCGCCCGGCTGGGATCTGATTTCTTCATTCAGGTGTGCTAGGTTCACACTTGCTGGTTTGTTCCTTTTCATGGCTCTGCAGCTTTTCTTTGTGTGCAGACACTGGATTTGTCCCTTCTCTTGTCCTGGACATTTGGGTTGTTCCTAGCTGTTGGGTCTTACAGGTGGGGCCGCTGTGGACACTGTCTCTTGGCTTGCTCCCTGCACACATGTTCTCCTTTCTCTCTGGTCCTTTGCCTGGAGTGGGAACACTGGCAGAGGGTGGGCTTGTGTTTAGCTTTAGTAGATATTCCTGATGGGACTTCCAAGGTGGTGGCATCAATGCCCATTCATTGCCATCCACAGTGGATGGAGGCTTCCTGTGTGCCACATCCTCCCCAGCACTCGATTTGCTGCTCTTATTAATGTAGCCATTCTGGTCAGTGTCACCCTTGGATTTTGCAGCTGACCCAAGGGGCCTGAGTGCCAAGACCTGAATTTGCTGCTTTTCAGTGACCACTGGTGAGAGCTTTTAGCCCTCAGCCTTCACCCTCAGCCCCTGGGTGCCCCTTGCCCTTGGAGACATTTGCAAATCTGACAGGCATGGGTCCTGTGACTTCATCTGAGTGACTGGTGAGCATCTGTAAGAGGACAGACCCCAATGCAGAGAAAGTCGGGGCCTCCTCTTAGACAAGCCCCTCCCAGTCACCGTGTCTTTCACTCATGTCCTCTCCCAGCAAGACATGCTCTATGTAAAAACGGCTTTTGGGAGGAGAGGAGGGAGCAGAACAGATGTTTGGCCATGTTAAATTTACACAGCGATTATAGGTTGTAGCCTCCTGCCTGAATGATAAAATACGAAAAAAAAAAAAATGCATCTCAGAAACACAACAATAGCAACCTCAGCCCTAAGGTGCGCTCGCTGCAGGGAGGTGCTGTGCTGGGGGCTTTGTAGCTGGAGCTGCAGGGGAGCTCCCTGTCAGCTTCTCAGCAACCCTCAGAGGTTGGTGTTATCACACCATTTTACAGCTAAGCAAGTTACAACCTCCAAGCCTCAGTTTCCTTATCTGTAAAATGAGAGGGAGGCAGAGGGAGATTTGACACGCACAGAGGAGAAGGCCATGGGAAGACAAAAGCAGAGGCTGGGGAGAGGC